ATTATAATATTTTTAGGCATTTCATTCACTATAATTTCAGAGATTAATTTTCATAAAATGTTGACCTTCCCAGAGGACTTAATATATTTTTCCTTAAAATGGGGCCTTGAGGGAGAAAATTTGAGCAAGGGGATTAAGATGGAATTAAATACTTCAATAGAAGCACTAGTATCTTTAGTTAAATTGAAAAACTTTAAGGATAGGGCTTTGATCTTACACGGTTTTTAGACTTCCCAGGCCCCAGAACCATGAGAAATAAAATCCTATTGTTTATAAATTATCCTGTCTTAGCTATTCTGTTATAGCAACACAAAACAGACCGAGACAAAAAATTGGTACCAGGATTGAGGTTGTTGCTATTGTAAATACTGGAATTTATGGAAGCAGCTTTGGAACTATTAATAGGTAGAAAGAAGCCAGAATAGTTTTGAAGTAAATGATGGAAAAAGCCCATATTGCCATGAATGGAGTGTTAAGGGCTATTCTAGGGAGGGCTCAAAAGAAGAGAATATCTGTGGAGAAAGTCCAAAACTTGACAGAGATTATTTAAGTGGTTGTGAACAGAATGTTGGTAGAAATGTGGATGGTAAAGGAATTCTGATGAGGTTGCAAATGGAAATGAGGAAGAAGATATAGAAAACTGGAATAAAGACCAGTTACAGTGCCAAAGAACTTGACAGAATGATGTCCATGTACTGGGACTCTATGGCAGGCAGAACTTAAGAGTGATAAACTTACAAATTAGAATAATTAAGTAATTTAATAAAAAATAAAAAAATACAAAGAACAAATAATAAAAGAAGTAAAATGTTGACTTTCAATAAGCTATCATAGTAAAATAATTAATAAAAGTATAAACTATGGAAACAAAGAAACAAAGAGTGATAAATTTGAATATCCAGTAGAAGTTAAATAGATTACATTAAATATTAAGTCATTCTTGAATTCCAGGAAAAATTTCTACTTTCAATATTGTGATCATTTTAACAAGCACCTGAAAACCTTTCTTTATTCTTTAATGCTCTGAAACAATTTAATATTGACATGATCCCTTCTAAAGGTTTGGTAGATACTATGTTTATTTGTTTGGTTTTTTTAGAGAGGGGTTATAATCTAAAAGTTATTTCCAAGTGGTAAATATGTGTTTTTATATTTATTCTTTGTCTTAATTACTATTTTTGTTTTATTGTATCACTTTCAGAGAATGTTGAGTAATATATCTATTTTCAACTTAGTAGTTTTTGATGGTATGCTTTTGGTAATTTTTGTGAGTGCTTCATAAACACTTGATGTATTCTCTTTATTCAGGTACAAAGTATTATTGATGAGAAGTACCTTATGTTATAAATTTCCTATATCCTAATAATAATGTACTTCTACTTTTCCATTTATTTCTTTTAGTTTTATTTTATAAAGTTTATTCTTTGTTATTTGATATTTAGATATTTCTGTTAATATATTTATTGTAAACATCCTTTTAAAAGAATTTTATTTCATTTTATTTTTACAGTGCTGGGGACAGAATTCAGGGCTGTACACATGCTGTGCAAGTGCTTTACCATTGAGCTGCACCCCCAGCCTTGAACTAATTTTTAATTTTAAAATAATTGTAGATTTTACAGCAAGTTGAAAAAAAAAAGTACAAGCAAATGTGAATCATCTTTTTTGTCCATGTTGTATATACTACCTGCTCATTAGTCATTTTGTAGTCCTCTTGGTTATCAGAGCAGTTGTCAAGGCATTTATAGTCCTTGTGTCAAATAACCTATATTTTTACTTAATAATGTCTCTACAATGCTGGAGTGGTGTTGAAAAAGAGGGGCACCATGGCATAAAACATGGAAGATTAACATTGGTACTATGTGGCAACACTATAGAAGATATAGGAAAAAATATGGTGTGTGTATATAGAGTTTGGTACATATGTGGCTTCATATATCCATTAAAGTTCCTGGAACATATCCTCTGTGAATAAGAGTATAGTACTTTATGGGACATTTCTGTTTTAGGCACCTTGAGGGTTATGCTTAACCTTTCTCTCTTTAACTATTTTTCCCTTGGTAAGGGGAATGCTTAGTGTCCTTTTTTTTTTTCTTATTGTTTAGGTAGTTTTCCAAGTACTATGTAGGAATTAGCTACTTACTTGATGTTTTCATATCATAAAAGTAAATCATCAGAATATATCTTATCTATTGCTGTGTAACAAATTCTCTCAGAATTTAGCTTAAAACAACAAACATTTATTATGTCTCAGTACCTGAAGGGCAGGAATGTTGGGAGTAGCATAGTTGGGTTGTTCTGGCTCATAGTCATTTGTTTTTACATAAATTGGAGTTAAGATGTTGACTGGGGCTGCAGTAATCTCAAGGTTTAACTAATCTGCACAGTCACAGCAGATGAAGTCATTGAAGAACACATTTTTCTTCTGGGGGTATCCAATCTCCAGTTATATTGCTAGACACTTTGTTTCTTTTTGCCAGCATCAGCATTGGCTTTTGCCTGACTTTTTTTTTTTTAATTTTAAATTTTAAATTTTTTATTTGTTTTAATTGGTTATATATGACAGTAGAATGCATTTATGCACTTTGATATATCATACGCAGATGGGATATAATTTCTCATTTTTCTGAGTGTACATGTTGTAGAATCATATTGGTCATGTAGTCATATATATACATAGAGTAATAATGTCTGTTTCATTCTACTATCCTTTCTAACCCTACATCCCCTCTCCTCCCTTTCCCTCCCTTTACTTCCCTCTACCTAATCTAAGGTAACTCTATTTTTCTCTAGTATACTGCCACCCCCCACCCTCCCATAGTGAATTACCACTGCCTGACTTTCTTTATTCTGTGTTTTGACTATTTCTTTGAGATCTTTTTTTTTTTTTTTTTCCCCTCATCAGGTCATGTCTTGTAAGTCTGTGTTTGGGTTCATTTTTCTTTGCAATATCCAAAGAATCCTAAATCATGCCAAAGTCAGTTGTTTTGCCATCTCCAAAATGGGTTCTGAGTCCAAATACAAAGATAATATCTGGTGTAGTCTTATATATTTTGGCTAATTTTTTCTGTGTTTGCTTCTAACTCTCACATATTCACAGTTGTTAGCAGGCTTAGTTTCTTTGCTGGATGTTTACCACACTTTTGTTCTTCACCATACAGGCTTTTCCATAGACTTCCTTGATTCTGCCCCAATCCCACCCCCTTTTTGTGGTACTAGGGATTGAATCCAAGGTGCTCTCTATTGAGCTACATCCCTGGTCTTTTTATTTTTAATTTTGAGACAGGATCTCGCTCAATTGCCGAGATTGGCCTCCATCTTGGGATCCTCCTGCCTCAGCCTCCTGAGTACCTGGGATTACGGGTGTATGCCACTGTATCCAGCTTTCCTGACTATTCTCATGTCATGGTAACTGACTTTTATTACAGCAAGTAATCCAAGAAAGAGCAAGACAAATGAAAGAGGAGGCTTCATATGGAAGTTACAGATTTTTACAAATTTATCCCGAAGTGGCATACTATTTCCTCTGCCATATGCTATTGGTCACACAGACCAGGTTTGGTGGGAGAAGACTACACTAAGATCTGGACACAAGGAGAACAGAGATCAGTGGTGGCTGCGTTGCAGGCTGACTCCCTGTTTTAGCCATTTTTTTCACTGCTATGTCCCAGAGACCTCATGAGAACAACTTTAATGGAGGAAACACTTATTTGGGGGCTCACAGTTTCAGAGGTCTCAGTCAATAGAAGGCCAGCCCCATTCCTTGGGGCTTGAGGTGAGGCAGAACATCATGGCAGAAGGGTGTGGCAGAGGAAAGCAGCTGGGAACATGGCACCAGGAAGAGGAGAGAGAGTGAGAGAGCTTAGTGTGTGCACACTCAAGCGCTCCACTTAACAGGAATAAAGTATATACCCCAAAGGCAAAACCCCAGGGATCCACCTCCTCCAGTCATACCCTGCTTGCTTAGGGTTACCAGTTAATTCCTATCAGATTATAAATCCAATGATTAGGTTAAGGCTCTCATAACTTAATCGTTCACATCTAAACTGTCTTTCATTGTCTCACACAATGACTTTTAGCGGGAACATCTCATATCTAAACCATAATACTCCCCAAAATAACAATGCTGTATTTTAGAATGGATAAATAATTATATAATAATATAATTTTCATACTTATATTCTGAATTTATATCCAGATGTAATAATGTATTTTTATTTAAAACAGGTAATGTTTGTATATTTCTGCCACGTTCTATAGAGAACAATGTTTTTTTGCTGTATTTATGTTGAATTTAATAGAGGACCTTGACTAGTTTATGATTAGGATTATTTTTTGAGTTTCTTTTAATTCTTTTAATATCACTTGATGTCTTACACTAATGCAAGGCCTAAAGAATTATTCTTACAACATCTTTAGAAGGAGGTATTTAGCAAGATTTCTTAGCAAGTATGTATTTGAAGGTAAGGTTTTTTTGTTTTATGTGTGTTTCTTTCCCCAGATAGCTTACTCTATTGAATAGAGAAGATTTGTTCAGTGTTAAATAGTAAGAAAGGAATAGCAACTTACAATAATATAATGCTGTTAAATTTGTAAAAGCAAAACATTCTTGCCCTAATACATGATAAAAAGAAAATATTTTGGAATTGATACTTGGTAAGAAGATTTTATAATATTGTTCTTATTCTTTTAGGGGGTTCATGGACCCCTTTTAAATTGATGAAAGCAATGATTTCTCTAGAGAAGTGTATTCAGGCACACCAGTGGAATTTTGCAATTCAGGGGCCCTTTTAAAAGTCCATGGGTTTCAGGCTGAGACCCCCCTCCTTTTAAAGTAAAGATATGTTTCTGATGTTACATGACAGAAAGCAGTACTTCTGATTTTCAATTTATAAAGGGAAATAATATACGTAACTGTGGAAATAGATGTTTTTATTTTATATGGTTTATAATTCTCCTACCCTAATGATTTTTGTTTCTGAATTTTGCTTCCCCTTTAGCATCTGGAGCATAAGAACAGTGCTTATTTTCTTCTTTTCCAAGAGAACAGAAAGAAATAGTAAGTTTAAATTCCAAGTTTTTATTACCAGAAAAAACCCTATTATGTAGGTACCTATGGTTTTTAAGGCAGGTTGTGAAATGATATATTGAAATGTTGATGTGGTAAATATTGAAGAATTTTTGCTATAAAACATGAACAAGGTTATGAATGATCTGGATGGTTCTGTTATTTATTTGTGTTTTTTCTTTTTTTTTGCAAACATAATATTGAAAGTTGAAAACAGAATTCAAAATACACTTTAAAATTCATATGCATTTATTTAAGTCACATTATGTTTGGGTTTAAAGGTATGGGAAGAGTAATATCAAATTTTGTACTGAGCAAAGGTTAGGGTTAGATAACTAAGATTAACATGGGGAAATATGAATATTCATAAGAAAGTACTTTTGAAAACACAGAAATATAGAAAATATGAAACAGGGAAGATTAAAATGTGAATCATATTAATACATATTTTGTAAATATGGGACACATGAATGAATCCTATATATGATATCTTGTGTTATGTATGCAAATTTAACAGTGAAATATAAAACAGAATTCAGAATACACTAAAATTCCTACTCAGGTACATGGATTTAATTCACATTAGGTTTTGTTGTAGAGATATGGAAAAGTTAATCAAATTTTGTACTGAGCTAGGATTGTGGTTCAATAGTTAAGATTAATATGGGAAAATATGAATATACATAAGAATGTGCTTGTGAAAATATGTGTAAAAACATGTAAATATATAGGATCTAACAAAGGAGAGATTAGAGTGAATTTTATGAATATTTATTTTGTAAGTATAAGGATGCTAGGATGAATACTATATATGATATATTGAGATATAATTTATATTATTTCTTTTTAAAAAATATTTATTTTTTACTTGTCGTTGGACACAATACCTTTATTTTATTTATTTATTTTTATGTGGTGCTGAGAATCGAACCCAGGGCCTCGCATGTGCTAGGCGAGCATGCTACTGCTGAGCCATACAAACCCAGCCCTGTATTATTTCTTATTCAGAAATTTTAATAAATAAAACATTTATTTAAATTGAGACATTTACTAAATTCATCTTAGGAAACATTGATATAGAGTAAATTATACTCTATATCTTTTGACTTGTTCTGTCAATTACACCACTCTCTTTCACCTCACAGCCCCTTGACTTTTGTTTTAATTGAAATATACAAAGAGTGATAAAATCTGCTTCTGAAAAGTTCTATACACATGTTAAGTTTTAAAGATTTTTCAGTCTCAAATGTATGAATTATAAGTAACTAGAGATATACATTTCATTTTAAGTTAACTTTCTGTATGATGTGCTTTATGTCTTTTTTATTTTAACTTTTCACTATATAAAAATGCACTGAATAATATCGTGAACCCTCGTATACCTATAACTCATCCTAAACAGTTATCAACACATGGTTTATCTTGTTTCTTTTTTATCTTTACCAACTTCTTCTCCTGTACTATTATTATTACTTTTTTGGTGCTTGGGGATTTGAACCCAGGGACTCATGCATGCCAGGCAAGCGCTTTACCACTGAGTCATATCCCCATTCCCAAACCACCTGTTTATTTTGAAGTATATTCCTGATATAGCTGTCTATAATGGACTCATAAAAAATATTAAACTCAATGCATTATCATACTTAATTCTTAATATCATAAAATGTCAAATATAAAAATATTAAATTTCTGATTGTTTCATAAATGTTATTTGCTGTGAAAAATATTTTGTGGGTTTGACCTATGATCCGTGTAAGGTTTGAACAAATATAAGACTTTCAAACTGCCTTCCTTGCTCATGATCTCTCTTCTCAGTTTAGGGCCTGTGGTATAACCCAAATGACCATTTTTTTTTTCTTTCCCAGACATACTTGACTCTTTTGCCCCTTTCCTCATCCTATTTGTCTGGCAAACCACATTCTGTTTAAATATAATTATATGCTTAATCAATGATTGGTAAACACTGTTTAAATACGTTTAAGTACTCTATCATATCAGAATAGCTAAACTTGTTAGAGGAAAATCACACAACATACTGACCAGACTCATTTTAAATAGATTGCAGATATCAAATATACAACCCACATTGGTTCTATTTTAGTTCCTTAGTAAATTCACTTTTTTTCTATTGGATCATTCCTACTGACAAATAATCCTGCCTCAGTACACCTGTAGGAAGTAGGGGAACTGTCCTGACCCCGTATTCCTTTTAAACTACCACCTATTTCTCTCTTTCAAAATAAACTTTCTTAAACAGTTGTCTATTTTAGGTAGCTCTTTTTCCCCACACGTATTCCTTCTCAACCTATTTTGTTTAGGTTTTGCTTCCACCACTTTTTACTGCAGTGGCTTATTTCAAGGTCATTAATGATCTGTTTCTTGTCAAAGCTAGTTGTTAGTTCTCTTTTCTCATTCAACTTGATATCTTAATAGCATTTGAATTAATTCAGTTTTCTTCTCTATTCTTAAAGCATTTGTATCTTTAAGCTTCTTTGACACTTCACTGGTGATTTCCTTCTCAGTATTATTTGCTTGTATGTGTCTCCTCTACTAAAATTCTATCTTTGGCTTTTTTCTTTTGATAATTTGTTTAGATACATGCTGTTCAATAGAACATTCTATAATATAAAAATAATCTGTTTTTACTGTTCAATATGGTATCTGCTAGTTATTTTTCTTGAATTGTGGCTAATGCAACCGTAGAATTTGATTTTAAGTTTTAGTTTCAATCAGTTTAAATAGCCCCATTGGCTAGTGGGTATTATATTGGACAGTGCATCTCCAGGTGATTTTATCCACTCCCATAGATTTAAATCTAAGTCTGTGGTTCAGTCTGAAGGCTTATGTACCTAGCTGTTTAATTGACATTTTTACTTGGGAGTCTGGTAGGCGTCTCATACTTAACATAGCCAAAACAGAATTATTATAGCTTCTCCCCTTTACTCCCACTCTCCCATATGTGCTCCTTCCTGTCCCCATCTCTATACAATTATTTGTTAATATCCATTAATTAGATTCTCCACACTAACAGAATCAATAGAGTCTGTCTGTCTCTCTGCCTGCCTGCCTGCCTACCTACCTACCTACCTACTAAAATAAGGAATTGCCTCATGTGATTATGGAGGCTGAAGTTCTAAGATTTTTAGTTAGCAAGCTGGATATCCAGGAAAACAAATGGTTTAGTTCCATTCTAAGTCTGAGAATCAAGAGTACAATGATATAAGTTATAGGCTGAAAATTGGCAGGTTTGAGACCAGGAAGAGCCAAAGTTTCAGTTTAAGTCTGAAGGCAGGAAGAGATAGATTTCCCAATTCAAGGTAACTAAGCATATGGAGTTCCTTTTTACTTAGGGAGGATCATCCTTTTTGTTTTATTTAAGCCTTCAACTGACTGAATGAAGAACATCTCATTTTAAGGAAGACAATTTGCTTTACAAAGTCTCCCAAATATTAATCTTGCTTCAGAACACTCTCACAGATATCTAGAATTGTGTTTGACCAAACATCTGTACACCCTATAGCTCAGCCAATAAACACATAAAATTATCATAAGATCAAAAATATGGGAGTCATGCTCTTCATTTTTCTTTCATATTCATTTATTTACTAGCAGGTTACATCATCTTTACCTCCAAAATTATCTTGAATCTGACCAATTCTCATCTTTTCTACTACTACAGTTCTACTTTAAGCCATTGTCATCGCTTCCTTCTATTACTGCAGTGACATCTTTACTATTTGTTTTTTTTTCCAATTGGGATTGAATACAGGGCCTTGCACATGCCTGGCCTGTGCTCTGCTACTGAGTTACATGCCCAGCCCCTTTTAAAGTTCTTTCTTTTTTTAAAAAAATTATTTATTTATTTAAATTTGTTATACATGATAGCAGAATGGATTTCAATTCATAGTATACAAATGGAGCACAATTTTTCATTTCTCTGATTGTAGACAAAGTAGAGTCACACCATTAGTTTCTTCATACATTTTTCCTAGAGTAATGATGTCCATCTCATTCCACCATCTTTTCTACTTCCATGACCCTTTTAAAATTTATTTTTGAAACAGGATCTAGCTAAGTTGTCCAAGCTGGCTTTGAACTTGTGATCCTCCAGCCTCATCTTCCTGAGTATCTAGGATTACAGGTGTACACTACTGTGCCTGGCCCTTAGTCTATTTTTAAGGTATAAAGCAAATCTTGTCTTTCTTTTGCTTAAAGGCCTCTATGGCTTTTTGGTTGTAACTGGAATAAAATCTGAATTCTTCCCCTGACTTTATGATTTATATTCTTTTTTCTGACTTTATGTTCTTTCACTTTCCTTTTTTTTTTTTTTCACTTTTGCTTTGTTTATACTGGTCACCTTCTGCTCTGCAAACATATTTCTGAACCTCAGTTTCCTAATTTATAAAATGGGAACAGAAATATTGATTTTGGCAGGACTGTTACTAGTATAAAATATAACTGTGAAAGCATATAAAAATTGCAAGGTGTTATACAGATGTGAGCTGATTCTTATTTTTCAATCTTTATTCTTTTAATTTTTTGTAATAAGTAAGTTAGGACCCAATACAATATTGATTTGAAATGGAAATAGCAACTGTCTTTATCTTGTTCCCGGATTTCAGTGGAAATGCCTTTAACACTTTATCATTAATTATGATATTTACTCTGGTGTTTTAAAATACTGGTAACTTTATCAGATTAAGGAAATTAATCTTATAATACTGCTTTCAGTGATATTTAGTGTTGTAGTAGATGGTGAGAGGGTAGGAAGATGCTTAAAACAAATATTCTCTGACTTCCAGGAATAACAAAATAGTAAATGATATAAAAACCTTATTTCTAAAGAATCCTCAAGAATACTTCTTTAAGGAAATTACATGTTTGAATATTTTAACTTATAAACAGGAAAATCTGGACATGGTTATTATATAAAAGGATCACACATACATATATTTTTTTTGCTTCAAAATTTATCTCAGAGGTCCTTTTTA